ATCACAGATACACTCCTTGCACCATCTAAGCCTGTAGTCTGCGACAAACATAGTCGTAAACACATCCTATGGTAATTTTACATCCGCTTCCTTTTGTTTATATACAAATCCTGCCGCTTCTCCAACTATAAATGCACACTTCATTAAAATCCACCTCCACGATGCTTCCTCCCAAGTTTAGCTGGGGATTTTGCAGGTTCAAATACAAAGCGCAGTGCCAAGAATAAAACATCTGTTGCTGCTAAAAATGGTTGTGGTTTATCTGCCTTTGTTTTTTTTTTACTTCTGGGAACACACATGACGCTCCGACTCATACAAAACCTTGAGGATATTTTCAATAATAGTGGAACTCTTGGGTCTCTACTCTTGGATGGATCCCTCTCTACAGACCTGTTCTTAGCGCTATTTCTATACTTACAGCTAAACACTCATCTCCATCCCCACCAGTCTACCTGCATATTTTTCTCCAATCTCCTCATCTTAATAGGAGAATGAAGAAGAGTTTATCAAGTGAAGTGAGCATCAGATCCGCTGTAATGAAATCTTATCAGTCTGCTCTCGCTGATATATTATTTGCATATAAATTACATAATACAATAACTGGCTTCTACCTGGGAGGAGTAAATATTTCTTTGTCCGCTTTGTGTCACCAGGAAACGAGATGCTAATTGAAGAGAGGGAGGCCTGCTTATGTGACGACTGACATTCAATTATATTTGTGGGATCAGATTAAGCAAGGACCTCAGAGAAAAAGCAGTTCTGAAACAACATTTTGGCGTGTGGTGCAAACAGTGGCTCTTGAAGGATGTAATTTGAATGGCTGGTTGAATGGCGTGGCTCTGAATAGAATTGCTACTCTATGACCTGCCAGTAATTAGATGTCCGCAGAGGAGAGCTGACAGAAAAGGGAAGTGCCGATGCACAACAGAAACAGGAAATAAATGGCAAGACAAGGAATTATGGCAGAATGACGCACTAAAATGCAAAACGCTTTGGTGAAGTGTTCAAGCACCGTGAAAAAAGGCCTCATGGTAAAGGCTACAAGGTCACTGATAATCAGCATGGATTCAGGCTGCAAATACTAATTTTCTTAGTAATGGAGTATCAATTATGACTTTTGATTAATCAAGTAATCTATTCATGTTTTCCTTTCTATAAAACATCCTTAATAATTTATATATTTTCTATAAAACATATACAGTAGCATTGAAATGTGGTGTGACAAAGTAATGAAGTGAAAATACATAATTTCTATCTAAATGTATAATTTAATCTGAATTGTAAAGTTCACATTAAATGTAATTAAACATATGTATGATCTCTATTTATTGTTTCATCCTAAATGTAGGTTTTGTGTTATGAAAAAATCCACTTCAGAAACAAAATCAGAATCTCTCATTGTCCGTGAGTCTCCGAGGGTCGATATTATATTTTTACATGTTATGTGTGTTTCACAAAGATCATGGTCACAATACTCATGTGTTCTCCTGTGTTAAGAACAATGTATCATTACAATCTATAACTAGTTAGAGTTTACTTTTAGAGCTGGATATACTGAATGAAGGGATGGAATTCACACAGAAGGCCACACTTGTTAAAGCACAGCAGGGCACATGTTTCCATGCACCCTCACAATGACAGTATTAATCCATGCTACATATATCCAATTAATGTACACGATAATCCAATGATACACATAGCAAGAAGACCATCCACTTCATAGGATAGCTGCATTTACATAACAATATCTGAACTCTGAACATTGTAAAGCACTGTAAAAATGCGCTATATAAAGATTACATACTTACTATGTGGAGCCTGGTCTGAAGGTGCACCATCTTTGTATCCGTCTAAATCTGTTCTTCCACTGCATGACATAAAATTCTCCATAGACACAAGTTGAGATCTATATTGACACTGGTTTCAGAAACCTGTATTGGTCAACCTGACTCCAAGAACAAATATCTAGTGACTTAAATAGGCTCTTTTCCTAAAGCCTAATCTTCTTCTTTTCATTATTTTTTTCCATATTCTGTAGCGTACAGAATAAGTTTAGCACCTGACCTTGAAAATATCGGTATATACAAGTAAAAAAAGGTGTGACAACTTGTCAAGAGCTATACGGGCATCAAGTAAATTATATGGTTGAGCAAAATACAGTGTCAAAGTGTCAAACTTCAACTAAAACCTTTTAGTCGGAAAAAAACAAAACAAATCTATGGACAAAAAGTGTGTTTTTTTTCTTCTTCTAATGTACTTGTTCACTTATGGCGTCAAAACGTGAAGAAAAAAATATATCTGTCAACACTGAAGTCATTATACATTCACTCAACTCCAACCACCATCAAAATGAATATTTTAGATGCCGTACTGGTAGATAATATACAGCTATAGAAATAGTCATAATTTTCTATATACTTATTTTCATTTTGTTTATTACGTTATTTGCTTGTGGTTTTATGTTGTTTTATTTTTTATTTTTTTATTTTTTTTACTTTACTTTTTTGGAGCATAGTGGGGGAAAAAAAAGGAAAAAATAAAATAAAATGTGTGTCGTTATGCTGTATGTATTTTGGGGGGGAAAGTAATGTGAACTAATGAGGATGACGCAACAAAGTAATTGAAAATAAATAAATAAATCTAGTTATGAGGCATGCTGACCACCTGACGACTGAAAGAGGCGTCCATTTTGCTTCTGCGCAGCGCGTGGAAATGGCGGGGTCCATCGATTGGCCGTCCTCTGCTCTGACAGCTTCCAGATTGGCCACAGAGCATTACCCAGTCACAAAGTCAGTGTGCCATTAGCGCCTGTCCTCTCCGCTTACACACACCGTCCACGCACTCACCACTGATGACACAATGACTGCTCTATGTGTGCGACGCCGGAGAAAATGACCGCTACACAGCTTATCCCTACAACCCAGCCTTCTTCACTTTGAAAATGTCAGTAAAGCGTCAGCAGACCAAGCTTACGTGATATGAATCTGTGTCTCTTCAATATAATTATGGATATTTCATAAGACTTTTTGTTTAATTATGTTATTAAGATGAAGATTAAGGGATCCTTTCTTGGGGAAATTTAAGTGTTACACAAGTTACAGACAGTAGGAAAGGGGAGCACTCAGCAATCTTATCAATTATTCAACAACGAAATAAATACAACCATTAGTAGAAATCAGTAAAGGCTTAAATCTTTGAGCAGTAAATGTGCATTCCAAACTTCTAGACTGGCTTTATGATTTAGATTTTCAGGTGCTTAGGACAATGGCTTTGCTGATTCTACTGTAACACAGGTCTCACTGCTAGAAAAGTTATTTGTTCAGAGTAATGTTTTTTCTAGTCACACACCTTCAAATACCTAAATACTGGCACAATATGAAATCACATCTTGTTGAAAAGGAAACATTAGAAAAATCAGCTTCCCTCCCATGAGTGTGAGTCACAGTGCGGCATGAATGTGCAGCCGAGTGCAAAACTATGGATGTAGAAAAAAGTAATCGGAATAATTTGTTTCTATAGTGGTCAGAAGGATGAAATGGTTGGCGTTTCTGTGAAGGGGTGACTTCCCTCCAGCAGGCGCAGACCACTCACACTTTGATAGCACCATATGTTTGGCTTTCACACGGCGAGAAGGGCAAGCACCCTCACTGCAGCTTCTGACTCATTCGTCAAAGCAGCGAGTGTGTTTCTCTCCAATTAAAAACTTCTCAGCAGAGCAAATTAGGTGTTAAAGTCTGTTTTCATATATCTATGTAGCTTTTCAGGTGATGATATGTTTTTACAAACTTGATTCACAGCTTTGATAATTAAAATATGGCAAGAAACCGTACAAATAAAAAGTCCCCCCTTTAAGGGAAAAAGAATCAGAATCCTACTTTGCAAATCTCCAAAGCAACTAATACAGACATCTTGATGATTTATCAATCGTGTCTTAAAATGTACATATAACATTTACGTCCGCAAAAATAATACTTCTTCGGAGGACTGCCTTCGGGTGATATTTTGTATGATTTAACTCTTCTATAATGTAATTCCCCACTGGAGGAATAATAAAGGCCTCCATTAATCAATGTATTTACTGTACTGGTCATTGTTATGTGCCGATTTGCAATCAAAATGGAGAGCAATAAAAGAAAGGGAAGAAAAAGAAACACGACAGACTTTGGCTTTGAAGGACACCTGAGAAAGGCATTCAATCAGCAGCAGCCTCTCAAAGAGAAGGAGGGGCGCACAACCTACTGTACCCACAGGTGTAGCTGAGCAGGGGGTTTATGCCAGGATCGCAAGACGGGGCAGGTGACATTCATAACCATATACAATAGCTTGTGACAGCACGTCAACTCTATTCTAGGTATTTACTATGCACTTAAGTTCTGATTGCGACCAGGCCAAAAAAGCAAACAAAAGCAAACGCTGGTAAGAGTTTTTGAATCATATAGTGCGCACAAAAGAGGTAAAGCGCTTAGTGGGGCAGTTCCCATGTATATGATCTTGTAACATACTGTATATTGGGAGTTGTCTGGCAAACATGGATACAATTTTAGTGTACTGTATGTTTTATTCTGTATCTTACAATTTTATAATAATGAAAACAGTGATTTATCTTGCAGCCCATTAACATCCTTAATACGGTATGACTGTAAACATTACCTGCAGTCCTTCTCAACCTCAAAGCGTTCTTAGTCTTAGGATGTTATTGATCAGTCTTCTCTGATGTAAAACAGGAATGAGCCCGGAAAAGTGACGGGTCCAAACACAGAGGCGGAATAAATGTGCATATCAAGAACATAATTTTATGCCCCAGAGACAGCGCTGCAGGCGGAATCACTGATTTCAATGTGACAAAATGGATTTTCCAATTTTCTCCGGATTGCTTTGTGCTTTCCTCAGGCAGGTGAAGTGTCTTTCCAAACACACTTAAAACTCCAACTCAAGCAAACATTTCCAGCCTCAATGAGACATTAGATTTTGAATCCGTTCACCTGCTCACTTCAACACCAATGACCCCCACGAAGCCGTTCAATTTCACTGTGGAAGAAGAAGAAAGCAATGTCGCAGCTGCTCAGAGGAAGCTTTATGGAGAAGGACCCAATAAACTCACTCCTCAGGCCGCAGCAGATATTCCTTCAAATATTGTGAGTGACAGGAAGACTTTTTTGCCCCAGCCGCATAACCTCCCCAACATGAAGCCCCCATCGCGAATGTTCAAGCCAGGATCCATACCCAATCTGGGCCGTCCCATGAAGGCCAACACTGCACACGTTCTGCAGCAGACCAGAGTCCTGTCCAGCACGTATAATTTGAGATCTACAGCTGCAGCTGCATTGGGAGTAAAGCCGCCAGTGTCCAGCCTGCGAAAACCATCGGCGAGCAGTGTGACCTCGAGCCTCCAGAGAGCAGGACACGGCCTGAAACCACCTCAAGCTAAAGTCGCCCACTCAGCTCTCTCAGGCGCTGACAAACCTGCTGGAGGTCCTCACCCTGTGGCTAAAACATCGTCATCACCAAGAAAACATCCTTTACCCAAAACTGATGTCATGCCAGCAGCAAAGAAGAAGAAGATGGATCTTTCATCCAACACTTCTGCAGCCTCCTCCTCAGACTCTAAAGCCAACAACCTGAAGCCTCCAACACAAAACCAGAGAACTTTACCTGCAAAACCGCCAAAACACTACGCTGCATCTACTGCTACAGCCATTTGTGAACCAAGCAGCCGGGTGCGGACTTTGAAGGCACCAGCAGGAAGTCTCAGAGCCCCATCTACTAAACCACACAAGGGGTGTAGTAACTGCGCTTTACTCGAGGAACAACTCCGATTGATAACAGAGGAAAATAAACTATTAAAAGAAGGTATTTATTTATCAGGAACATCCTAAATAGTTACCATATACATACATACAGAAGACTATTTTAATGATTGCCACTTTATATTTACTGTTATTTGTGTAACATTGTTTAAATAAATATATAATAAAACTTTAAAAAAAAAAAAAAAAAAAAAAAAAAAAAAAAACTCCAACTCAAGTGTAACGAAAGACTCAACACCAACAAACTTTTCAATATATATTTTCAACTATTTTGTAATGTCTTGAGTCTAAAAACCGTAGGGGAAGCTAAGGAGGTAACTAACTAGCCAAAATATGCCAGCTATAATCTGGCCTATAGCCAAATGCCTGATTGTCCCATGTGAAAACAGATGCAGTGGGGGGTGCGCTACATGCTTTTAATCGCACTTCTTTGGCTATAACTGGCAAAAACGTACACAGAATTGTCCGAAAGTATTTTTTTGGACGAGCCTAGTTTAGCCTGTGTGGACTTCAGAATGCACTCTTTAAAAGAATGGTACTCGTGTTGGCTAACACAAACGCAAATGTGTTTTTTCACATTTTCCTGTAGGAGGGGCCACTCGTAGCCATTTCAAAAAAAGACGGTAGGAGGGAAAGTGATGACACATAAGTTTTATCACTGCCTCTGTTAATATTTACAGTCTATGGTCAAATCCACTTCCTGTTAGAGGTAATATTTTAGACTTTTTCAGATTAAACTGTTTGAATGGAGCGATCAATAAACCATTTCAATAATAACTCATTTAAAGAATTTAAGTGCACACATGTTAGTCTCAAAATCCTTGGGGATATTGGATTTGTAATGTTTGGCATGCTCAGACGCAGCATGTGTCATTACTAATCTTAATTCGCCTTTCACCATGTCAGGCTTAAACACAGTATGCATGATATGTAACACAAAAAGGTTAAATGTCTATCTACCTGTGACATCAGCTTCCTCAAGTTACATATCAGGATTCATTGCAAAAAAATCAAGCCCAGCCCAAATCAAATGTATTCAGGAAAGAACAAAGAATCAGTTTTCAGTGAAATTGAGAGAGTAATGAATGGTAACATATTCATACAGTGATCAATGTGCCAACAGTAAATATAATGATCTGAACAAAAATGTAGCCAAACTTATTCAGTGATTTTGCGTTTCACAACAGGAAACACAAGTCTTGA